ACCCGCCGCCCTCGCCGCCTCCGCCAAGCCCGCCACCGCCGTCGCCGCCACCGCCAAGCCCACCGCCACCGTCGCCACCACCCTCGCCGCCGCCGCCCTCGCCCCCTCCGCCGTCTTCTCCGCCGCTGCCTTCTCCGCTCCCGCCCTCGCCGCCGCCGCCCTCGCCACCGCCTCCGTCTCCGCCGCCGCCCTCGCCGCCACCGCCAAGCCCACCACCGTCCTCGCCGCCGTCTCCCTCGCCGCCGCCTCCAAGCCCACCGCCGCCATCCCCACCTCCACCCTCGCCGCCACCACCTTCACCGCCCCCGCCCTCGCCGCCGCCGCCAAGCCCGCCACCGCCCTCGCCGCCGCCGCCGTCCCCGCCGCCACCGAGCCCACCGCCACCGTCCCCACCACCTCCCTCGACGTCACCTCCGTCCCCGCCGCCACCGAACCCACCGCCGCCGTCCCCACCACCTCCCTCGACGTCACCTCCGTCACCACCGCCGCCGAGCTCGCTGCCACCGAGCCCGTCGCCGCCGTCCCCGCCGCCACCCAGCCCGCCACCATCCATACCCCGGTTCGAACGGGGGACCTTCTGCATGTTGGGCAGACGTCATGACCAACTAGACCATACGGACAGCAATGCTCGAGATGAGAGCGGCCGGCGTGCCAGGGCTGCGCATGGGATGATAGCGGCCCGCCGAGCATCGCCTCATATTATTTGGAAAAAAATTTTGCCGCGCCCCCGCCCCCGCGTGCGCGGCTAGAGGCGTGCGAGGCTGACGTATTTTGGACAATCCACCTACCAAAATTAAAACCCGAAGTCACGCCGAGCCACTCCGCCAAAAGTGATGTGTGGCAAAACATCTCGAAGCCTGCGCGTCCTGGCGACCTATATAGTTAAAATGTGAAATTTTCGCGGGGTACTACAAGCGAAATTCTATCGCCACCGCCAAGCCCACCACCGCCATCGCCACCCCCGCCCTCCCCACCTCCTCCGTCTCCTCCTCCACCATCACCGCCCCCGCGCCGTCACCACCACCTCTCGCCCTCCGCCTCGCCACCACCGCCCTCCCCACCACCTCCGGCACCGCTGCCTCCCTCCCCTCCACGACCACCGTCGCCGCCGCCTCCGTCGCCACCGCCGCCAAGCCCGCCGCCCCCTTCACCGCCTCCTCCATCGGCATCGCCGCCGCCGCCCTCACCTCCGCTGCCCTCTCCACCCCCGCCCTCCCCACCTCCTCCGTCTCCTCCTCCACCATCACCGCCCCCGCGCCGTCACCACCACCTCTCGCCCTCCGCCTCGCCACCACCGCCCTCCCCACCACCTCCGGCACCGCTGCCTCCCTCCCCTCCACGACCACCGTCGCCGCCGCCTCCGTCGCCACCGCCGCCAAGCCCGCCGCCTCCTTCACCGCCTCCTCCATCGGCATCGCCGCCGCCGCCCTCACCTCCGCTGCCCTCTCCGCCTCCGCCCTCGCCACCGCATCTAGTCGCTCCGCCACGCCGATGACCCGGCTCCATGCGCCCCAGATCATAGGGCAACTTGAGCGCCACAGGGAGCGCATCGTCTCCATTCATCGCAAGATGCACCTCGGCGCCGTGCGCCACCAGCGAGTAGCGCCCAGCGACCCTGGCTTGTCGATCGCCCGCGTCGAGACGTACAAGAAAGAGCTCGAGGCTGCACACCAAGAGCACCTGCAGTGGTTCAAATCACAGCCAGAGGCGGCGACGGCCGGTCAGGAAGCGGAGGCGGCGGAGGCAGGCGACCAGCAGGCCGAGCCTCCTCCGTACAGGCGCAGCGGCTCGTCCTCCCCCTCGCGCCGGAGCTCGGGCAAGTCGGTCAGGTGGTGGGACGAGAGGGACTGAAACGGGCAGGGGGCACTGTAAATGATTTTTAAGGACACTCCATACAGATGTCTCCCACCCCGCGCGCTGAAAAAGGCCTCGGAGTCTCCCCAGAGGTCTTCCCACACACACACATACGTCATACCATAGAGACATATATCCCATTTACATACACACAACGAACTTCACACGCGCACACATCGACAGAGTAGACTCGTGAGTTAGAAGGGCAACCAGTCCTTCGCATATTGAGAAGCGTTCGCGTGGCACTCGCCCGAGTCGGGCCCGATCAAGCAGCGGCAGCCGCTGAGCGAGATGAGCTCGATGAGCGAGGTGTGTGTGAGCGTAAAGCTCTGCTCATAGGTCGACCCGAGGATCGTTGCACTCGAGACAATATCCAGAACTACTGCGGATCTCAACACCTTGTCGATGGCGTGAGACGTGAGCGAGAGCAGGCCGCTCTCGCGCGAATAGCGAGTGAGGAACTCGTTGATGT